ATTTGCTCCAAAAGAACTTTACGATACCCTATGGAATCCTTCATGAAAGGAAACAAAAGCGAGCTCTAGCCGCTCAGTCGTTCAAAGGATGCCTCAAACCATAAGGGATTCTCCGCCGAAATTACGTTACATTAAACCATCTGCGATTTTCACGGGATCCTCCTGTACCCTCTTTTTCTATCAGATCCACCTAGAATAAACTTTTTCACGTCGATCTCAGATCACCTGTAGCACGAAACAAGGAGGTAGAGTCCAAGATCGCGAAGGGTCTTAACAGCCACACCTTCGCTCATTAAGTTGAGCCCTTTTCCACGGAGAAATGGAGACGTGCGATCTTGTAGCGCTCAAATAATCTTGGAACGCTCTTCATCAATCCGCTGAAGATGTTATTGCTCTGCTGGCTTACTCACCACACGGTGGTTTTGCTCACGGAAGGCCGCATTTCAGCACGGACTTTGTTCGGACTCCTTGTATAATTCGACAGAAGACGCCCAATTCCTCTTAAATTTGAATGAAACGCAGTCTTATTTACCAAGCTACTCTTCTTTCCGCACTGACCAGGATTTCGCACATAGTTGCTTATGCAGTATGAGCCGGCCGACATGGGAGGCAGTTCTGCTCCTCAGCCATCGGGCTTCAGTAAGTGCTCTGGCTTGAGCTTGTTAGTGGGAAGAGAGGCGAGTAGCACGAGGTATGGTAAGCTCGATGTTGAATAGCAAGGGAGGTCGTTCAGGATGCATTTTTTCAAAACGGTTTTTGCATGCGTAGGGGCTCTCACATCGATTACAACACTGTGTTTCATTTTCGCTGAGCGGCCCCCGAAGGCCAAAAGGGTCAAAAAAATTTGTTAAGAATGGGTGGTTTTTGCAGCCTTGGAGTGACGTTTCGGGCTTGCAGAAAAGAACACCTGCATATTGAAGGGCACTGATCAAGATGGTATCGAAAGACAAGGTAAAATTCGCTCAAAATTGAAGTTCTGTCGGTGGTCGTGCTGAAAAAGGTGTTTCGAAGAAGTTTTTGAAAAGAAGTTTTGTAAGCGTGGTCGGTATTCTTCTACCCGCAGTGGTGTGGTGGTCAAGTGGATAGCGTGTGGCTTCAAAGGAAGGGACTTCGTGGTTCCACTCCGACCTATGACAGAGTTCTTGCATTTTTGATTATCACCTCCGAATCAGTGCCAAATTGCTTCAACGTCAAAACTAACGCTGTATTCACACAATCAGGACCATCAGCAGCCCTTGCGAATGGGTTTTCTTGAAAGAACTGGCGGAATCAATTTGCTGCGCCAAACTGGCGCCAAATGGCGCCGACGCCAAAAATAAACGCATATTCGTGATCAGGACCCTGATTTACCCCTATAGGCAAATTTCGGCGAAAGTCGAGATTTTGACCTAACTTCGAAAAAGTGAGGTGACCATGGGCTACAGCTCGTCATACAAGCCGGCGGGCGACTTGAAAACGAGCGCTGCGCGAAAATAAGGCGGAATGCTGCGGTGATTCACGGAATCTAGAGTTCGGCTTCATAGAGAATATTCTACACCACATCGCAGTCCTTGAAATCGACCTAGCTATCGA